AGACAGAGAGGAGGGAAGGAGGGAGAGACAGAGAGAGAGAGAGAGAGAGAGACAGACAGACAGACAGACAGAGAGAGACAAAGAGAGAGAGAGAGAGAGAGAGAGAGAGAGAGAGAGAGAGAGACAGAGAGGAGGGAAGGAGGGAGAGACAGAGAGAGAGAGAGAGACAGACAGACAGACAGAGAGAGACAAAGAGAGAGAGAGAGAGAGAGAGAGAGAGGAGGGAAGGAGGGAGAGACAGAGAGAGAGAGAGACAGACAGACAGACAGACAGACAGACAGAGACAAAGAGAGAGAGAGAGAGAGAGAGAGACAGAGAGGAGGGAAGGAGGGAGAGACAGAGAGAGAGAGAGAGAGAGAGACAGACAGACAGACAGACAGAGAGAGACAAAGAGAGAGAGAGAGAGAGAGAGAGAGAGAGGAGGGAAGGAGGGAGAGACAGAGAGAGATAGAGAGAGAAACAGACAGACACAGAGAGAGAGAGAGAGAGAGAGAGAGAGATAGCACTTATATACCCCTTCATAGTGCTTTACAGCCCTCTCTAAGCAGTTTATAGAGTCTATTGCCCCCAACAATCTGGGTTCTCATTTAGATTCATTCGGAAGATGGATGGAGGGATGGAGGGATGGATGGATGGAGGGATGGATGGAGACAGACATACGATAGCTAGCTAGATAGATAGCTCGCTAGCTGGATGGATGGATGGATGGATGGATGGATGGATGATGGATGGATGGATGGATGGATGGAGACAGACATAAGATATAGATAGATAGATAGATAGATAGATAGATAGATAGATAGATAGATAGATAGATAGATAGATAGCATTAGCACTCAGACTTATGTATTGCTTCACAGTGCTTTACGGCCCTCTCTAAGCAGTTTACAGAATCAGCTTATGGCCCCTCCCAACAATCTGGGTCCTCAATTTACTGACCTCGGAAGGACGGAAGGCTGAATCAACCATGAGCCCCATCAGGATCGAACTCCTGGCAGTGAGCAGAGTCAGCCTGCAATACTGCATTCTAACCACTACACCACCAAGGCTCCAATACAGGTAATCCTCAACTTACAATAGTTCATTTAGTGATGGTCCAAAGTTACAATAGCACTGAAAAAAAGTGACTTATCACCTGTTTTTCACACTTACAATCACCGCAGCATCCCCTTGGTCACGTGATCAGAATTCGGATGCTTGGCCTATGAGTGACGGTTGCAATATCCCAGGGTAATGTGATCAACTTTGGGACTTACTGACAAGCAAAGTCAATGGGAAGCCAGATTTACTTAACAACTGCAATGCTTCATTTAACAACTGTAGCCAGAAAAGTCATAAAATGGGGCAAAAATCACTCAACAAATGTCTCACGTAGCAACATAAATTTTGGGCTCAATTGTGGTCATAAGTCGAGGACTACCTGCACATAAAGAAGGGCCATAGAGGAGTGGAGATAATGAAGTCTTCAGTTAAACATCAAATTAAGAAGGCAGTTTGCACATGCAGCATCCATTAGGGTTAGCTCCTCTTTTAAGTGGTTTTAAGAAGCCACATGTTGCTTTATCTGGTCCTGGTGACTGATCCAAATACGATTTTGCATCATTATCACCATTATCTTTATCCCTATCCTATGAGCTGTATATTTGTCTTCATTCATGATCCTTTCATATCTAAAAGCATCTTGCCTTATTTCAGAGTCCTCATGGCCTTCTCCCACGCAGCTTGGGAAAGACCTGATTCGGTCATTTGGAAAAGACGAGCTAGTTAGAAACTTCCTTATGCTAAGTCAGATTTTATTTGGACTTAATAATAGACTGTTCAGAACCACTGGTTATTAAATCCAAATATAATCCAACTTAGCACAAGGAAGCTTCTAACTAGCTCATGTTCTCCAAATAACCAAATCAGATCATCTGATTTCCAGCAATGGATGGAAACTAACCAAAGAGAGAAGCAACCTGCAACTAAGAAGAAATTTCCTGACTGAACAATTAACCAGTGGAACAAGCTGCCTCCAGAAGTGGTGAATGCTCCAACACTGGAAGTTTTTAAGAAGAGACTGGACAGCCATTGGTCTGAAATGGAATAGGGTTTTCTGCCTGAGCAGAGGGTTGGATTAAAAGACCTCCCAGGTCCCTTCCAACTGTGTTGTTCTGTTCTGTTCTGTTCTATCAAGTCACTTATCTAGGGCAAGGCAGAAAGTAACCTAAGATTCAGGCATGCTGGAAGCATTGGGCAAAAATAAAAGTACAATTCCACCAAAGCTGAAGCAGTTCAGGACCACCCTAATTGCTTTATGAGAGTAAAACTAGGTGATCACTTCTGATCAACAAAGTAAATCAAAACAAATCCACCATGTCCTGAAGGCGTCTGTCAAAGGCAATAGCACAGGTAGTCCTCGATTTGCGGCCACAGCTGAGGCCAAAATTTCTGCTAAGAAATACAGTTGTTACGTGATTTTTTGCCTCATTTTACGACCTTGCTTGCCATAGTTGTTAAATGTGTCACTGTAGTTATTAAGTGAGTAACAGTGAGTAACAGCATCTGGTTTCTCCATGAACTTTGCTTGTCAGAAGGTCATAAAAGGGGATCACATGATCTAGGGACACTGCAACTGTCATAAAGATGAACCAGTTATGAAATATCTAATTTTTCACATGACCATGGGGCTACTGCAACAGTATAAAGCAGAAGTAGGCAACCTTGGCTCTTTTGTGACTCGTGGACTTCAACTCCCAGAATTCCTGAGCCAGCACGGCTCAGCATGGCAACCTCTCCATTTCTCCTCAGCATGGCTGGCTCAGGAATTCTGGGAGTTGAAGTCCACGAATCATAAAAGAGCCAAGGTTGCCTACCCCTGGTCTAAAGTGTGAAAAACAGTCACAGGTTCACTTTTTTCCGTGCTGTTGTAACTTCAGAGACTAAGCCAATGGTTGTAAGTCAAGGACAGCCTGTAATCACTTCACACAGGCCTAATATTCAGGGGCTGCATCTCATAATATACATCATCCTGTTCTGGGGTTCATACAATATACTGACCCAAAATAGGCTCATTTCTTTATAACAAAGCAAGTCTCATGTTTTGGGCAAATGCACCACCTGACTCTGACCTGGCTTTTTAAAAAAACCACGGGATTCCAAGGCTGCATTTTTGTCTGGCCTGCTTACATTGGTAGGTGAGGCCTATCAGATGACCACTGATTGGACATTTGGAGAAGACAAGCTAGTTAGAAGCTTCCTTATGCTAAGTCAAATTATAATTGGATTTAATAATAGACTGTTCACCACCACTGTTCTCAATTCTGGCTTAACCTCGATTAAGTTAACCTTGGTCTCTGGATGCATATAGCACACTGGCCCATAAACTAGCCATGAGGTTGGGTAAACCAGCATATAAGGCAAAAAATATGGTCCAATGAATGGTGTGCAAACTGGAATCAGAAGAACATTATGAAGAACAAAAGTTATCCATTGTATTGTAGCATCTATTTCAAGTACCTGCTGGACACCACAACCTAATCCCACTAATAACTTATAGGATGAAGTCTAGATAGGTATTTTTTTTTTCTGTTCAACAATCTCAGGGTATCAAAAAAAAAGGAGCAGCAAAATGTATAATTCAACACAACAAAGAGATTTCATTAAATTTCAAAATACAATATAGCTAACAGTTTTATCAATGCATAATTGAAATACATTCTCTTTGTGTCACTTTATCATCTCTTGCAGTTGTGGGAGTTGATCTGTTTTTAAAAGTATAGGTCACTCATTTAAAAAAACAAAAATTAAATACACACTTACCCATTTATTATGTTCACCCATGACAAAGGTTTAAATAGACAAGGTTTAAACAGGCTTTGTGTGCATTCTTCAAAAATTGTTCGTGCTTCAAAAATTAAAAATTAACATATATGCATAAATCCAGTGCATAATAAGTTAGTCGGCATAGATTACAACTCCCCCTCTATTTAAGCATTCTTTTAAACCAAAAGCACAATTTCATCCATTTTTTTTAACCTTTTAAAAGTCTGAAGAGTTAATGAATAAAAATAAATATACTTGCAGGAGCTCAATGATCAGACTTACTTTTTGAAACACACCCCTACAGCTACCACCTTGGGTGCACAATATTTGATGGCTAAAAGTGGTCCCTTCCCATGATAAGCATAGCATAACAAATTATGCAAAATAAAAAGGAACCTGCAAAGGGGTATTATGCAAAACAAAGGGGAAAATATTCAAAGTGTTCAACTTCTATTATATATGCAAGTTTTTTTTTTTAAAAAAAATCAGCTCTCTTGGTTTATAGAACTGAGAGATTTTGTTTCATTTAATATACCTCCTTCTCCCCCAAAAAGGTCTTTAATGTCTAACAATCAGCAACTATGAATATATTCAGAAGAAGAGCAGAAAGAAGCAATATGGTGTCTTCCAGATGTTTTGGATTACAGTTTTTATAATCTCTGATCTGTGACTGAGTCTGTGAAAGTAAAAAAAAATAATAATCTTGGAGCTATATTTCAAAATATTTGGAAGACACCCTCAAGGCCCAGCTCTAAATAAATAAGAGCAACCAACTCAATGAAGTTCATATGACTTGTTACTGTTCAGCGAATAATGAAATGAAGGATGAGGGGTGACATGATAGCAGTGTTCCAGGGTTGCCACAAAGAAGAGGGAGTCAAGCTATTCTCCAAAGCAGCTGAAGGCAGGACAAGAAGCAACGGATGGAAACTAATTAAAGAGAGGAGTAACCTAGAACTAAGGAGAAACTTCCTGACAGTGAGAACAATTAATCAGTGGAACAGCTTGCCTCCAGAAGTTGGGGTGCTCCATCAGTGGAGGTTTTTAAGAAGAGACTGGACAGCCACTTGTCTGAAACAGTATAAGGTCTCCCGTTGAGCAGAGGGCTGGACTAAAAGATCTCCAACCTCCCTTCCAGTTCTGTTATTCTGTTATTCTAACTACATTGGTCAGGAAATAAACAGGTAAAAGGATATGAATGTACCAGAATTTTAATTGCTATTCTTCTGATTCGATGAAAAGGACTAAGAATGTACAAGGCAGGAGTGGCACTAAATCGAAAGATCGTCTTCCCTTTGTTCAGTACTATAAATGTCTGGAAAAACAAAGGAGAAGATAAACAAATATTAAGGTCTGGATTAAAAACTCACATTATGCAAGCAATAGTTATTTCTATTTCTTCAGAGATTATTCAAATGTCCCCCAAACCTCTATGCTGTTTATTAAAACAGCCAGACTCTCTTTCAGCTTCTAGTTGAATTAGGGTAAAAAAAAGAAAGGTGTTGCTACTTTAAAGAAACCACTCATTAAAGTTATTACAACTCTTAAAAGTAGCCACAACTTTTACTTGGAGTGCAGGGGAGTCAACACGTTTAGTTAGATATGAGTTTAAGTTACTGCACATCATGCTACTTATAAAAGTAAACTCGACATTATTTTCCAGTAAACATACAGTTCATACTGTTCTTTCTGAAAGTGATATTTAGATACCAGGATAAATATTTATACACAAAAGTACAATTGAATGTTTTATGAGCAAAATGAACAAGCAGAGGCATAGATGCCATTATTCTAACTGTGCTACATAGAGGATTGTTGCATATCTAAAAATAAAATTTATAAATTTATTTTAGAAATAGAGAAAAAAAGAGAGATAAAAAGAGAGAGAGAGAGAGAGAGAGAAACAGAGAGAGCGATGAGAAACCAAGAGAGAGAGAGAGAGAGAGAGGCAAAGAGAGAAACAGAGATAGAGAGCTATAAGAGAGCAAAAGAGACAAAGAGGAACAGAGATACAGAGAGATAATAGAGAGAGAGAGAGAGAGAGAGAAAGAGAGAGAGAGAGAGAGAGATAAAGAGAGACAGATAATAAAGAGAGAGAGAGAGAGAGATAATAAAGTGAGGGGGGGGGCTCTATTCCCCTTTTCAATTACTTTTCATCGCAGTAACCTAGATGCTTATTATCACTTCCAAAGCAAGAAGAAAGATTTCCTGGACCATAACTTTTATGTAATCTTTTAAAAAATCAATTGACCTTTCAGATAATACCCCTTTAAAACTCCAGTTTAAGCTTTGTTTTTTCAGTGTTTTAACAGAAAAGTAAATTTGCAAAAAAATAAATAAATTATTATTTTGCTAAGTCCAGCTATGCCTTTAAAAGGTGAGTAGATAGCAAAGACCGAACAAGCACAGACATCACTAAATTTATATGGCTGGGGAAAACACATGATCTACTGAAATGTAATCAAATCTACCTAGTAAAGTGATCTTCCAAAGAGAAACTTTTCTGCATTTTGCTCTATAATTCAATAAAGCTTGCAGCATTCATTACCCCACCAAAATGTTTCTTGCATAGAAACTATTTTTATAGATTTATTGCTAGCCAGCAATGAGAATTGATCAGCTTCTAGGAACCTCTCTAGCTTTGTTCAGCTATTTTGCCACTGCTATCACATAACATATATTACTCATTATGTATAGCAAAATGGCTTGAAGAAAAGGAAGATCAAAATTATTTCATGTGTAGGCAGCCCAAACGTATACTCACTAACTGGAAAATTGGTAGCATCCTAGACCAAGCCAAATCCCAAAATGTTAGGAAATTCCTGGAAGCTTGCCATTCAGACAAATCAGCCACCCACAGCCATATAGAAATAAACCATATTTACAAACTATTCAAAGGACACAACAAAAAAACCAAGAAGGAAAAAAAAATCCAGAACACTTCCTTTCCAGCGTCAACATCCAGATAAACAGAGATATACACCAGACAAACAAGCAGAGAACAATACCCTAATCAAGGAAAAACTACACCCCTGCTTGAAAAACAAGCTTTTCTAAATAATATACAAGCTACCTGAATAAACAGTGAGCAAACTCCACACTCATTAACAGTGATGTTAGCTAGTGGGGTAATGAAATTGTTGAGTCCGTGGCGGGAAAACAGACACGAGAAGCAGCTGGAGTTCTCAGTTTCATTTATTCAGCGTTCAGCTTACAGGAAGATGGCTTCAGCCTCGCCCAAACGCCTCGCAGCCTCTTATATAGGCAACTCCCGGGTAAATGGGTTACTTTTCCCGCGCCAGCACCCGCGCATGCGCACGGCGCTGGCGACAGCCTGTCTGGTCCCGGGCAGCTTTGCACCTGCCCGGGACTGCCTGCAAACGCCCGAGCCGTTTGCAAGGCTCGGGACATAACACCCCTTTCCCCCGGGCTAAAACTACTACCAACATACAACATTTATTTTATATGACATTTTGCTCCCCAGTGCTCCCACTGATTACTGGCTTTTGCCTTGCCAGCAATGTTATGTAATCTTCTAGATACTTAGGAGATTTCTTTGCTCTCTGTGACCTTCTTAGCTCTGGGTTACTGGCATAAGTCCCCTGACTGGAGGGAGGCGTGAGCCTGTTCTCTCTATTGTGCCCTGGTGTCTTCCAAGGACTGTGCCCCGATGCCTGGCCTGCTTGCTTGCCCACCGGGCTCGTCAGGCCAGGGCCTCTGTTACTTTGTGACCTGGTTGACCTACCTAGCTGTAGACCCTCAGGCCCCTTGAAGTGATAGCCGCTGCTGGGCGTCTCTGTAGAACCTCCTAGGTCAGTCCAAGACCTGTCAGGAGGCTGTCCATTCCCTGAACCCCATTCTGTGTTCGGGCTCGTGTGGGTTTCTGTACTTTCCCAAAACTCAGGTGTTCCCTGATTTGTGCTAGGGTTGTTGTAGTCGGGACTTGGTTCCTCGACTAGCTCTGTGTATGTTTGACCCCCTGTAGGATTTGGGGTAAGGTCAGGCCAACCTTGGGAATTGTGTGCCAGCTCTCTTGCGGGGAATGATTTGTTGGGATGCCCCCGGGTATCCTCCGTTGCTGGAGTGCTGTGTGATGTGTGTGGAAAGTGAGTATGCCCCCGGGGTGACTCCCTGGCTGGAGTAGGCGTGAGTGCCTGTTGTGTGGGTAAGCTCCATGACTTTCTTTTCGGAGCAATTGCAGAACCTTGGGACGAGCCGTTTGTGGCTCCCTCAGTGGAGATGGGCAGTAGCTCTTGCCCTTCCCTTTGCTCCAAAGGGTCCCCCTCCCCCCTGGAAAAGACCCAGGAGTCTCAGCAGAAAAGTCTCGCCTAGAGCGAAGTTGGTCGATGTGCCGACGCAGGACACGACCGTTGTCCAGGGCAACCTCGTAGGAGAGAGGACCTGTGATCCTGGACACAGAAGCGGGGACCCATGTATGACCAGGCCCGTAATTGCGAGCCCAAACCGGGGCACCCACAAGTAGTTGTCTAGGTGCCCTAGGATGTGAGGTAGATGAAGGCAGTCTGTCCGGATGCAACCGGTCAAGTCTAGTAGTAAGTTGGCGCCCCCAACGAAGTTCAGCTGGACTTCTCCCTGTAGAAGTGGACGGTGTGGTGCGATAAGAAAGGAGAAAGTCAGCCAACCTGTGATGCCAGTCCCCGTAGGTGAGTCTCTTCAAGGCGTCCTTTGCGATGCGCACCATGCGTTCAGCCATACCGTTGGTGGACGGGTGAAAAGGCGCAGACGTGGCATGACGAATCAGGTTTGCCTGTAAGAAAGCTTGGAATTCGGAGGAGGTGAATTGAGGGCCGTTGTCGGACACAATGACATCTGGCAGCCCGTGTGCAGCAAAAATCCCCCTCAGTACCTGAATAGTCTTTGCAGTGGTGGTGGATGAGACAGGCACAACCTCAAGCCATTTTGAATGGCTGTCAACAAGGACCAAGAAGAACTGGCCCTGAAAGGGCCCAGCGTAGTCAATGTGCACCCTAGACCATGGGGACTGTGTTTCCTCCCATCTATGCACAGGAGCTTGGGGCATCTCTGGGCGAGATCGTTGGCACAGGTGGCATGCGTGTACCTTAGCCTCAATATCTTTATCTAAAGCAGGCCACCACAAGTGGCTGCGTGCAAGAGCCTTCATACGAACAATGCCAGGATGACCCTCGTGGAGGGATTCTAAGACCCTAGTCCTCATTGAGGTGGGAATGACAACTCTGTTTCCCCAAAGCAGACAACCCTGAGAAAGGGACAGTTCGTTTCTTTTGGACCAGAAACTCTGAAACTCAGGACTAGGGCAGTGCTCAGGCCACCCGGACAGGACCCAGGAGCGGACACGTGAAAGTGTGTGATCTGTACCTGTTTCAGCGGTAACATCCCTGGCACTAAGAGGGAGCTCGGGCAAGGCTTGGATTGATAGAATGTTGACAGCTGGCGCGGGGTCAGCTTCTACTACTGGCAGAGGCAACCTACTGAGGCCATCAGCATGGCCCATTTCTTTCCCAGGCTTGTGGAGTAATGAAAAATCATATGCAGACAAAAAATAGACCACCTAAGCATTCTAGGGGAAATGATGTGGGGAGTCTGCTTACGTGTGGTAAACAGTCCCAGCAGAGGCTTATGGTCAGTGAAGACCGTGAAATGCCTGCCATATAGAAAATCGTGGAATTTTTTAATTCCAGCAACAACAGCCAGAGCCTCCCTGTCTATCTGAGCGTAGTTGCGCTCGGCAGAAGACAGTGTTCTGGAGTAGTATGCAATAGGAACCTGAGTTCCATCAGACCTGAGGTGACTCAGGACAGCTCCAACCCCGTAGGGGGACGCATCACAAGCGATGCACACAGGGAGAGACTCGTTGAAATGTGCAAGAACACTGTTAGAAGTGAGCAAGGCCTTGACTTCTTTAAAGCAAGCCTCATGCGCTTGTGACCACAGCCACACAGCCTGTTTGTCTAGTAGCCTGTGAAGAGGCTCAGCTACACTAGCTTTATGTGGAAGAAAAGAATTGTAGAAATTCAGGAGGCCTAGAAAGGCCTGAAGTTCGGCCTTAGACTTTGGCCTGGGTGCATCTAAAATAGCAGTTAGTTTGGATTCAGCAGGATGAATCCCAGCAGCATCAATTTTGAATCCCAGAAATTCAGTAGAAGGCACCCCAATCTGGCATTTGTCTTTTCTGAGCTTGAGGCCTGATTTCCTGAATCTTAACAGGACAGCCCTAAGCCTTTCAGCTAGAATGTGTGTGGAGTCTCCTGCAATCAAGACATCGTCAAAGTAGGGGCAGACCCCTGGTATACCTCGTAGTGTGTTTTCCATTAC